TTCATAAAGTGCTTGTATAATTGCAGACATGGCTACACCTGCAGCTGGGTCACCAGGCTCTCCTACGAATGCCATCACACCATCACCAAGGTAATTTTGACGTTTGATCTAAAAAAATATATTATCCAATATAAAACAGCCCCTCGGATAAGATACCCAGTAGCTCCGCTGTTAGCAAAGAATATTTCAATTACCGGTAAAGAACTGAAGATAACATTAGAAAATGAAAAAATCTGACATGTATAGTATCAAAGCAATAAGACTTGCGGTTTTTACAATCGTTTTCACTAAACATTGGACGATCAGATTGTGGTAAATGTTAATACATCAGAGCACAGTCCCTCAACACCCGGTTAGGAAACGCTATTGTTCTATACGCGTGAATCGACGGTTGCGTCTGGGGGATGCGTGTTTCGCTCTTCCTGCGAGACAATGACGTCATAGTACTGTTGCGTTCTTACGTAAACGTCAGACCGTACTCTCAGTATCTCTCGATTTTTTCATATCTTACGTATAATATACCAGGAGAAGATCATCGAATTTTATTTACAAGATTGTTTTAGTCTTTCTAAATTTAGGTAAGTATTTTCGATTATGTATACTTGTCTCATACCCAAAAAATCAACGTTCATTTTGAGCTTGTGTTTTACTTGATCGTCACCTTTCGACACAATGTTAATGACGGTGGGCATCGTAACTTTTGGAATCTTTTATATCGTCCTTTTAGCCACTCTTTGCTTATTCATTCTAAAATAATCAAAGTACAATGGTCAACGACTAGGGCAATTCTGCTTATATGGGTGTAAAATTGTCAGTTAAAGATAAATCCATCAATGTTTCAACTGTATTGTTTTAACCAAAAGAAACAAAATGGCGTCCTATTTATTTACAATGCGTTTCCTAGACTACGTTTGTTTTCAACACTACTGTCAGAAATTTTAGTTTAAACTTATAAATGTAATCGTAGATGGAGGTTTTTATGTTTTTATTGCTATGTTTGTGGTTTTGCGACCATTTAACATAATTTTAAAACCATATAAAATTATTTTAATCTGACATTTTAGTGGATAAAATGGCGTCGTCCCATGGATACATACTGCTGTCTCGGAACTAGCCAGTTCACTTTGGAACCTTTTTATTCATATCATCTGATGTTGTATTGAGTTTTTCTTTGCTTATATGCGCTATCGAAAGTGTCATCGCCATGGTGATTATTTAATCTATAATAGTTTTATGTTTTTTGTGCTCAATTTTGCCGGTGAAACCTCTGAACCCAAACTCGTCCATGATTGTGAACTGTTACTAATGTAACCCCATATCTGCTGTCTCCTTTCATTCAATAGGTGGTGTATGAATAAAATGCCGTTTCGTAAAAATAAATGGGACCGTCCAAAGCGGTATTACAGAGATTTGATAGAAAAAAAGAAATTAAAACAACAACAGTCTTCTGGTATTCCTACTGTCACAAAATATAAGATCCAGGTATGTTAAGTTATAATTTTTTGAAATGTTTTGGGTGAGATTGTCTGCCTCATTACAAGTTGCTATAACATTCCACTAGGTTTATTTTATTATTTCCAAACAGAGGCTACTGTATAAACATATCATTGAAAACCAAATTATTTTTTTGAAAAATTTTTTTTTTCATTCAAGTCTTATTAATATTTTACATTTCAGGAGAGTGATGACAACAGAGAACCAGTTCTGCTTAGCTTCAGCTATTTGCAGCAGCATGTCAATAACATCACGTTACCATCTGGTTGGTCACTTCTGAGTTCCGCAACAGAATTTCGATTCAGTCAAGTGGAATTTATTGGCGATGTGTCAAAAATAGTGAGGTGTGTTATGGTAGGAGAAGACTTGAACTGGCGTGTAAAAGTTCATGGAAGAGATCTATTGAACAGTCACTACATTTTTAATAACATTCCACCAACAGTTACTGACTTTGAAGTATTGAACAAACTTATCACAGTTATAAGTCAGTGTAATATATGCATGGGTAATACAGACCCATCATTTATAGAGTTGCTGCTGAGTCGAGGTGGGGAGATTGTGAAGGCTTTTTCATTTTCTTGTGAAAAAGATGTGTCTGCATATATTGAAGAGGATTTGCATGCCAAAGCAAAAGATGGGAAAGTCTACCACTCAACTATACGGACAACTGATTGTCTACTCATTGCCGATAAAATAAGATGTACTAAGTGTTCCTCATATCGCAACAACCTCAGATCTTTGTTGTCAAGAAGAAAGAGCCAAGACCAAGTATGTAAAATTCAAACAGGCAGTAGAGTTAACCTTCGATATCTTGACAAAGTACAGTTAAAAGAAAGGGCTGTAAATTTACAGAAAGAAAAGATTGCACTGAAAAGGACATTGGATAGAACTGTAAAGCGATTGATAAGTGATGATGGTGTTTTTGTTGAAAAATCATTGCAGAGTGATTTCAAATCAATAATGGAAGACAACTGTGGTGAAGTGATTAAATGCTTTCCAGAGGACAGTTTCCAACGCTTATTCTGGGAAGAGCAGTTAAAACATGCAAGATGTGCTGACAGTCGTCAGATGCGTTGGCATCCAACTATTATTCGTTGGTGTTTATTTCTGAGGTTTAAGTCATCAACAGCATATGAAGCACTGAAGAACTCTGGATTTGTAAAGTTGCCAAGTCAGAGAACATTAAGAGATTATTCCAACTACATAAAGCCTGAACCAGGTATCAATCATCATGTACTAAAAGAACTAGTATCTGAAGTGAATGGCAAAACTAATGCTGTTAAGTATGTAGCACTTCTTCACGATGAACTGAAAATAAAACAAGATCTTGTGTATGATAAATATACTGGAGAGTTAGTTGGTTTTATCAATCTTGGTCATATCAATAATGAGTTGGCAAAACTAGAGAAATATGGCAATTGTAAAAATACTAAAGGGCCCGAACTTGCTAGTCATATTCTGGTACTTATGGTTCGTGATTTGGCATCAAATTTCCAGATGAGTGTGTCTTATCATCCAACAGATAGTTGTAGAGCTGATCATCTATTCCCTATTATCTGGAATACTATAAGTTATCTTGAAGTATCTTGTGGTTTGCATGTTCTCGTGTCCACCAGTGATGGTGCATCCTGGAATAGGAAATTTTATAGGATGCACAGAGTCTTAGGTGCACCAAGAGATAGTTTAGTATTCAAGTGCAAAAACCCCTTTGCTTTTGATGGAAGATATATATATTTTGTATCTGATGTACCACATTTAATCAAGACCACTAGGAATTGTTGGGCTAATTCAGAGTCACACAGAAAGTCTAGAAGTTTATGGGTATGTATTAACATTTTTAAACCATCGCTTAACTAATCTACATGTTTTGATGTGCTATTTCAAACATTGTGTCATACATGTATTTTATAAAAAAAATTGTGAACTAGCCAAATATAAATTTTCCTGTCAGTTATTCATGTTAATGGAATATTCATGAGTGTTACATTTTTAACAGAATGGAAATCCTATATTATGGCGTCATCTGTCGAAATTAGTGATTGATGACCAGACCAGAGACATCCATCTACTCCATAAAATTGGATATGATCATATCAACATTACATCATTCTCAATTATGAGAGTTAATCTTGCTGCTCAGGTATGTATGTTATTCAAATATTTGCCAGTGTTTGTATGATAGAGTATCATTTGCAAAATTTGATAAAAATTCTTCATCAATGACAGAACACCAGCTTGTTGTGAGACCAGGACCCCTGTTACATATGTGAAAGCTAGGTGAATGAAAAAAATGTACCTGTATGTTCAAGTACATTTGCATTTTCCTTGCACAAAATACAAACCACCATCTCAGATTCTGTGCAGACTAATTTAATATTTATGCAAGCAGGTGCCCTTCTGATAAAAAAATAATAAAGTCATAAATTTAACTACCGGTAACAGCATTTACTATTAGAACTTTCTACTCTTCACAGGTGCTGAGTGAAACTGTGGCCAATGCTATAGAGACATATGGACCACCTGATGCTAGAGAGACTGCCAAATTTGTGCGATATATGGACAAATTTTTTGATTGTTTGAACGTTAGATGCAAAGAAGAATATCTAAGAAAGAAAAAACCTAATCTTGCACCCTATAGAAATGTAAATGACCCACGACTTAAGGTGAGATTTAAATTTCATTACGATTTAACGAACTCAACGTTATACCGTCATTATTTATGAAAAAAATTAAAAAAAAAATTTAAAAAAAATCACACCTCACAACATTTTGTCTGTTGCAGTTACGTTATCCAGTAGTTGATGAAAAACCAAAAAAAATGTTGCTGACATTTACCTGCTTGTTTTTCTTAACAAAGAGTAAATATAACCTTATAAATATAATTTGTTCATGCTTTTTTACAGTGGCTTGAGCAGGATTTTTTAAATTATTTTACTAGTTGGGAGGAGAAGATTTCCCAGCGGCCTGGAAATTTTACCAAACCTCAGAGAAGTGCCATGTTTATAAGCAGACAAACAATGGAGGGTTTAAAGATGACAGGTAAGCCTACAGTAACATTATACATGTAATTAACATTATGTATCTGCTTTTGTGTGTTAGGTTTCTAATATTGTAACAGCTGCAATAAGAAAAGGTCCATGGTGACCAATTTCATCATAAATTTTCAATTTCTTCTACACATTCTTTGTTAAAATACTAAAAAATATAATTTCAAATTGCCTTAACTAACAGGCTACAAACAATCAAAGGGCTCTGTTGCCAGGTTTTGTCTGCTCACGGTCCTGTATTTGCCATTTCCACAATTGAATCTGATACTAACCTGATGCCTCAGAAATCAATATCCACAATGTTTTGTTTCATATTTTTCAGTTAAATCATTTGTGGAAACAACAAAGTATCTTTTAAATCATGGAGTGCAATATTTTTTGAGTGAGAAACTTTGTCAAGACCCATTGGAGGCACATTTTAGTAATCACAGACATCGTGGTGGTGCTAATAATGATCCAAATGTACAAGCATTTGGGTACCAAGAGAACGCAATCAGACTACAGAAATCGCATCACCTTCAGTGCATTACAGGAAACACTGGTCGACATAAAAGAGTTCTTGAAGAAATTATTGACAACACCCCTCTTCGAAAAAGATCTAGGACAGGAAATGAGAACTCTGTATTGTGATTGGGTTTGTTTTGGGACAGGTACAATATTGACAAAACAACTCTTGAAAAAAGAACCAGGGCAGGAAATGTTTTTATGTAAATAAATATTTCAGCATTGTAAATATATTTATCAACAGCAAGAAAAAAAAAATGTCACAATTTCACACATAAAATGAGTGTAAAAAATCTATGGGTTACCTACCCTTTGCAAAAGATTGATTTTTAAAAAATCTACCAAATTTCTCCCACGTAAACTAGCTTACTGTTTTAGTCCTAAATAGATTTTTGAAAAAAAAAATACAGTGAAAGGGTCAAATCCAAAACTTGTTAGAAATACTAGTGAAAATGACATTTTCTTTATTTTGATGTATAAATAATGATAACCACT